ACGAGAGGCAAAACTGTAAGTAGGCCTTATTTTCGGAGGATGTCTTATTTTCGGGGAAACAGGGTATGAAGAGATTCCTTCTAGGTGGTCGGGAATGCTGGGATTTGCACCTGAATCAAACATGGATGAGGTAGCACTTAGAAGTCGCGTGGAGGTTACCCATGAAAGGCAAAGGAATGGGAATTGCATTTTGTTGAAGAGAGACTTCCATATCTTTCTTTTACTAATGCATAAAGAAGGCTTTCTTTGGCCTAGCTGATGGTCCACTTGAAAGTCACCTCCACGCACATAAAACTTGGCTGAGGATCACAGTTTCTTTTATTACTCCCCAAAGCTATTAAAATTCTCAGTGGAGCTGATGAGTGAGAATCCTGGCCAATTTCTTCTTTTATTTTTTTTTATTTTTTTTAAACACACACAAACACACACAAGTCTATTCAAAATCATTTTAAAGAACTTTAATCATACCAAATGTGTCTGAGCAGTTCTCAACATTTCCACATATACAAAGGACAAGACACCAGAGGTCAACATACAAAAATACTGTATATTAAAATTGGGGCCAGTGGGGGAAAACCAAAAACTCATGGACTTTCTAGACACCATCTAGGACAGGAGGAGTAAGGAAAGAATGGTTTTTAAGACATTCAGATTTATAAACAGCAGCTTGATATCCCTTTGCAAAGTCAATATTTGGCAGAATTTTGACAAGACAGCCCTAGAGCTCATATCCGAAGGGCTATTAGCCCTTTAAAACAAAGTTTCTGAGATAAAGTATACACATTATTGCAAATGAACCATGTCAATGACTTTAGTTAACAACTACTGAGCAATATCAACCTACCATTTGAGTAGATTATTATTAACCTACAGGGGGAGGTGGGAAGGGAAAGTTGGAAAGGGCAAGGGAACACACCTACTTAGCGTATTACAAGGAGAGAAGCCGGTGCTGCAGCTATAGAAGAGCCATGCCTCCAGGCTAAAATCAACCTTCACAACATCTCATGGACCAATTAACAAGACTGAACGTGGCTTGAAAATGTATTGGAGGGGGTAGGGATAAGAAATAAGAAATAAGGACTTGCAAAATATAACTGAGTGGGGCTTCTTACTTTGATTTGAATTGAAACCAAGCACACTTGTCTTTACAAAAACATGTGTATACACAACACACACACACACACACACACACACACACACAGAGAGAGTGTATTATTATATATCACTGCCAGTCTAAAGACTTATAAGTCTTTGTACTGGCACGGAGAGGTGCTTCAGCTGTCATGATGAAGCTGGATTGTTTTGTTTTGTTAACAGCTCCTGAAACTTGTCTGTACTGATCAGGACAAGTATCCTCACTCCTTCCTGTGGAATTTGCCAATATAGCAACCTTTGCTAATAAGGTTAGTTCAAAATGCAAAGGAAGTCCAGTCAGGACTACTGGATTTCTGAGACTGCTTAGTTTACAGTTTGCTTGAAACACTCCTGGAGGCTGGAGCTATTAGAAACAGAGTAGCTGAAGCAATCTGATCTGAAATCAATTGCAAGTAATTTGGACTAATATTGGAATGCTGACAATTGACTTCCCTAAAGAACATGTCTGTGTGCACTGACTCCATCATTACTCTTTTCAATGTACTTCCCATACACCATGGTAGACTACTGGTTTCTGTTTTGATTGTCCCTTGGAAATGTCAGCTCTTATCTATAGAAGAGTCACCTGGCTGGATCCCACAGCTGCTCCCTTTGAGTTTTCCAGCAAGTGCTCCACATCTGCAGATCTCATCACTTTACTTCCAGGGCTTAACACACACGCACACAGCATGCAGGCACCCTCTGCATAGTCAGGTTTAGTTTCTGCAACAGGAACCCTGCTGGCACTCATTTAGATGAAAAACAGGGGCAACCACTGCTTTCCTGTGACAACATTTAAATACCCATAGAGCAGATGGTGCAAACGTGACCTGAATTAAGAACAGCTTTACTCTTCTTAGTATCTCTTTTTCTTGTTGGACATTGAAGAAGAAAACAATTTAAACCAAGGGGGAAAAAAAGGAGGGGGGTTAGAAGCCACCGCAAAACATTATGTAAGCGGCACAATAGCTTAAGACTGCTCAGCAAAAGCAGCAGCATTTGACGGGTATTCAGCCTATTTCTGGGCTACTTTTTCCACGTCACATGAAGATGTATAAAGCAGGGGTTCTCAAACTGGGGGTTGGGACCCCTCAGGGGGCTGTGAGGTTATTACATGGGGGGTCGCGAGCTGTCAACCTCCGCCCCAAACCCCGCTTTGCCTCCAGCATTTATAATGGTGTTAAATATATAAAAAGTGTTTTTAATTTGTAAGGGGGGGTCAGTACAAAAGTTTGAGAGCCACTGGTATAAAGGAAAGTGGTCCCTCATTTCTTGGAATATAGCGGTATAAGGAATAGGTCTAACTACTTGAAAACCTGGAAAAGGAAGCTTATGGCAAGGTTCTCACCTTTCTCTTAACTGCTTCCCTGGAATAATTTTTATGGTAACCACTAGGCAACAAAGCATAAGACTGCAAGGATGTTATTACAGATGTATTTGACTGTCCCAGCTACGATAAAACCTATAGTATGTCCTTACAGATTGATTGATTCTAGAGAGGAGGAAAAATTGTAGTAAGTCAAGTTCATACTTCATTTCAGCACACGTAAGTATGACAATGGGCTAAATCCTGCTTGTTTTAAACAGGCAAAAAGTCCAATTGGGCCAAATCCTGTAGAAGTGAATTAAGGTTTATCTACACAGGGACACTCAGGAAAATTAATCCAAATTAACTATGGGTGTGAATTTAAAATGGATTGGATAAATTGCATTAAACCGCTGTGTGGACACACTCATTTGGAATTTAAATGGCCTTAATTCAGTTTAGCTTAGTTCACTTTCCTGAGTGTCCAAGTATAAAGTCATTTATATAAAATGTCTTTTCCTCAGGCAAAATCCAGATCACTAAACTAAAGCAAAGGTTTAACAGATTTAAACCTGGCTGATCTTTATTGATAGATGGCTACTCATTGCAGATTTATAAAATTATAGCTACCTTTACATATATTACATAGCATGTAGATTCTCATTAGCTGAGCCCATCAAATGGCTTAATGAAGCAAAAGGCGTGATTGCTGATGTGACACAGGTGAGCCTCAGGACTAACACCACATAGATCACTACAAAGGCTCAAAGTCAATAAAAGCTAAGTTGTCCTGTGCCATAAAAACTTTCCTACCTTTCAATAAGCATTTTAAATTTAATTGGCAACATGTGAGATTTTATTAAGATTTTGTGTCACAGTTTCCAGCTGTTACAGTATTTATGATGTATTGCAAACAGAAGCACACACATACATCTGAAACTAGTCAAGGACTGAAAATCCAAATCATGAATTTCTGTTTCCCCCCCCAAAAATTAAATTAATTACAACACTTTTACCACTGAGGCACTAGCTTTAAAAAAATTCAGTCCATTTTCAAATTACAGCTCCTGTACTATCTTATTTTTGAAAAATCAAACATGAAAATATCTTGTTTTCTTTTAGTTTGTTTTTAGAAAAATCGGGGTAATTTTAAGGGTGAAATACTGCAATTTATTTGTTTAAATAGATGATGGGACTGATGATGGAAATAGCAGACTGATAAAAAAAAATACAACTTTTTAAGTGTGTTGGTTAGGTTCCATGTTCAGTAGTACACTACTTCCACTGTTTAGCTTTAACATGATTCAAAATGCTGCAGCATAAAGGTGTGGCACTTATTTATGGGTAATTTATCATTAGTGAGGCAAATTTACAAAGAAATTCAGGGCCTAAATACAGGTCAGAACAGGAGAGAAGAGACTGCATTCATGTAATGAGGACGAATATTTTTTGTTCGTGCTGTTTCTGTTGTGAAAGAGACAAGCAGAAAGACCCAACCCAAAAAAGCCAGATGGATCAAACATCACTAGCAACAAATACAGACAGTATCCGGTTGTTTTGTTTTTAAATTATCTGTTAATCTTGGCAGCATTCCACAAGATACTTGACCTGCCTGGATGACTGACCAAAGACACTAAATGTTGCAATAATTTGTATACCTCAATATTACACTCACTAGTAGTCACATTTTACAGCCCTTATCTCCCTGCTAAATCCAGATATGCAGCAGGCTTGTCTTGTCTTGTCTAACCCAGATGGGAAAAAACAAAAAACTTGCAGCTTCAGTGCATCTGACTAGTTTAGCAACTATCAGAATTAAGCGGTGACTCAGCTATATCAACCTATAGGTTTAGTAAGTGCCTTAGCTCATCTCAGCAGGAAAAAGTCATTAGAATCTCCAGGGTTTTGTTATTTTTGTCACTTAAGATTTTTTTGTGAGTTGAGCACTCTACAGGATGTGTATAGTGAGCAATTAAAAACAGAACTTATAGGAAATTAAAAAATCTTTAGGTATGTTAGGACAAGCTTCTATATTCAAATGTTTGCAAATAGTGCTGGTTGGAACCTAGAATTCCCATTTGATGGTAAAAACCCCAAAAATCATTTTTAAAAATTCCGTTCTGCATCAGAACAAAAACTCACGATTTCAAAGTTTTGCATGGAATCCAGGGGAGTCTGAGATTTTAGTTTTAAAAAATAAATAAATAAAAATTCTATCTGGACTTACTCAAAAGAAAATTGGTGAGGTTTCCTAGGCTGCCCAGGCTATCAAGAAGCTGGGGAAGCCTAAAAAGCAGGGGTCCTAGGGCTATCAGAGTCCTGGTTTTGCAGCAGCCCCATGAAGCAGGCAAACTGGATGGAAACCAATAGACAGGTTCCTGCAAAATGTTTTAATTTTGACAAATCAGCATTTTCCTGTAGAAAAATGTCCCATCAGAAAATTTCCAACCAGTTCTACTCGAAAACAGCTGTACTATGGGATTTACAGTCACAAAGGCATTTCCCTGTTAATCCTACTTTTAAGTTGCAAAATAAAGTTTCTTCAAAGCAAAGCTACTTTTCGTATGCTTTTGAAAATCATTCAAAAGACTGAGCATGATTCAAGAAAGCACCTAAGCCCATGCTTAAATCCATCCCTATGCCAAAAAGCACTAAAGCATGTACTGAATTTTAAGCATGTGCCTAAGTCCATTTGACTGGCTTAACTCAATGCATAAGAGCTTTCTCAAATAGGGATGTTTTCCTGACTCAGAGCCCAACTGTTTAAAGAAATACATTTCTTAAGCAAATTTTAGAATTTGAGAAGCATTCATGTCCATTATACCAAATTATTTAAATGTGAAACTATACATAAGCAGTTCAGCCAGTAGATTGGCTCAGATGCTTTGAGAACTGGGCATTCCTTTCCCATAGTGGAAAGCGGAGCCTTTCTACTATGGGGCAAGTTGATTTTAAAAATGAACCAACATCGACCTATCAGCTTCACTTTCTTAAATTCCATATAATCTTTCTCTGGAGTGGAACCACAAACTTTCACACAAAAATAAATAAATAAATAAATTATCACATTTATTCCATCAACAGAGGTAAAAGGACTAGCTACAACATTTGTATGTGACTGAAAACTGACCCATGATCTTAGAGATATGAAATAAACAGAATCTAGTTATTCATAGTAATAGGACAATTAATTTCCAGTTCTTTAGGGACTACATACAACTTAGATTTGGAACTGAAGTGAAATTTGAATCTGAAGTCAAGCAACCTGACAAGTTGGACAAGTTCTCAGATATTGATTGAGACTCAGATCCCTCTTTAATGGGTCCCACCACAGAAATTCAGAACCATTCAGTGCATGCAACTGGGGTTAGGTGATGGAAATTTTCAAGACTGATGCAATGACATAAGACACGCTTTATAATTCTTAAAATAGGCAGGTAAATACTCTTGGGCAAGTAACTACTCGACTTTCTCAATTGCCTTATTTACATCAACTTGAAAAACAAAACAGAAAAACCCAGCCCTCTTATATAACCCTAATTTTTTCTTACATACAAATGTGAAGTACAGCAATACTGCCTTTGTCTTCAACTAAACTTCTTAAATCAAACAGGCGTGACAGTGACATTAACATGGAATGTCTAAAGAGCTTTGTGGCATTGTTCTGGACTTTTCTTGCCAATTTTGTCAGTCAAGTTTATTTTTGCAGTGGGACATGACCATCTGTTTCCATACATTTGGCCTTCAATAGAAGCATGCTTGTAACTCATCCTATTCCCAGGATTTAAGGACTTCTCGGAACCCTAGAACAGCCCATGCACTTTGCAAATTTCTTAATTAGGCAGAAAACTTAACTTCCAAAATACTCAGCCTCAAAACTCAAAGAGGTCCAATATCTGAATTAACCAAAATTTCAAGTTGCCTGGCCAAACCACTCTTGAGCTATGATATGACAAACCATCTAACTCCCAGGCATCAGAAATAACTAATCTAATTCAGCTCAAATTTGCCTGATAAAGGTCTCCACTTACCACAAATACCCAGTTCCAAGCCACTGCCTAATCATCCCTCCATTCAATTTTGCCCCTCCTCCACATCTCTTCATCCCAATCAGTGCAATTCAAGACATCTTCATGACAGTTCCAGCTCCCTGCTAATTTCATGAGCCACTATCCAAGCCCAAATACCCTTTCCTCTTGCTCATTTGACAAACCCTTAATAACTCTCAAAACCCAACCTTCCAGCCCTGCTCATTTCAGGGCCCCTCATCTCACCTCAGGCAGAAGCCTCTGTACAGTCCCCAGGCAAGCAGCAGTTCAATGGCTCCTCACCTGAACACCAGGCCAGGATGCAGCACCTACTCCAGCACTGATACAAGATGGGCAGTCCCAACAGGATCCAAGAACTCCAGTGTTTGGGGAGAGGGGGAGTTTAGGGGCAGCAGCCAGGGGACAGGTTAAGAGGCAGCTTATCACAAGGAACTGAGGCAGAGGCGTGGACTCCTCCACAATGAAGAAGATGCCTCAGGGTGTACAACACCCCCAATATAGCCATACAGCATTCGTCCATTCTTGGTTACTAATGATCCTCTCAATCCTAGGTAACAGATAGTCTTCTGAGCCTCGCTCTGTGTGTACACACGCTCCCCTCAGCTTTCAAAACCCTCCTCCCTCTCATGTTCCCATGAGCACACTTAAGTCCTCACTTTACCTGTATACATATTGGCTTCAATGTGATATTAATGTGTGTGTGTGTGTGTGTGTGCGCGCGCGACTCCTCTCTAATCCCTGCTTCTGGTGTTTAGGAGACTGCTTAGTGAAAATTTACCTAATGTTTAGATCTAAAATAAAGAGATATTTACTGAAGCATTAATTGAATGCTGTAAAAATCCATTCCCTGGACATTTATAAGGCTTTAAATTTCAACTGCTTAGACAACACATAAGTGCTCATTTGCTAAAGATGCTAAGGGCAGTTTGAGAAATGTCAGCTAACGCCGTTCAATTTGAGAAGCATGAAACAAGCAGTGTAGTTTGACTTGGGTCAATACTGGCATGCAAAATGTTAACGTGACAGAGAGAAAGAAAGAAGAACAATCCCAGCTGTCAGGTCTAAGGACAGTGTAAAGGAAAGGAAAGGTCATTCATATGCTGTAATTCCATTGCAGCATTCCAGTAGAATCTTGCTCTGCTAAATACTCAAACATAAAGGTCTTTGCTTTAACTGTATATGAATCCTTATAGCCGCCTGGGTGATGTTTGGATTCATTTGTCATCATGCATTCCCCCCAAAAAGAAAGAAAACCCCAAATTTAAAACCACATACCCTGGGCATCTGGCAAGAGGAAACGTTTTAAAGTCAGCATTCCACTAAATGTATTTACTAGACATATGGATGTCTCCTGTCTGATTTATTGTGTTGTAATACAGCTTGAATTCACAGACGCGTGTTTAGATGTGGAATTTTTGATTCTGGCCAATCACTGATGAACAGGTCACAATGTTACCTTAGTGCAATAGGTATTAAAACAAAACAAAAAATCCAGATAAAGTGTAGGCTTATAGTAGATTCAAATCATGTATCTGTCACAAGTGAAAATAAATTGTTTGGTCTCATCCTCACCGTGTTTGCTTATTTTGCAGTGGATTTGTTACATGCATAATCTCCATTCAAGAAAAGCCTCATACCTGTAACACTAGCGGGGGATGGGGGTTGGCTGATCTGGATTAAGGAGCACTGGCATGATTGGGGGGGGGCAGGGAGGTGACGCATACCTGCCTGCACAATACATATTCAGGCTAATGCCAGTAATATCTCACTTTTGTAAGGAATAAATTCACTCACAAATTTTAAATCACTTGAAACAGAAAAGAAAATCTTTGTAGCTCTGTGGTCATCAGATGTAATTTCTACTCAAAAATCAACTATTTAACAACAACAACAACAAAACTACTATCCCCCAACATAGACACACAGACACACACACCCCTTTTGAAAACTATCCACAGCCCATACTTTAAAAATTTGTCTTGAGGAACACAGCCAAATGCTAATTTTGGTTACACTAGTGTAAATACAAAATAATTCCACTGAGTTACTCACTGTGCTGTTCATTTTAAGGTGAAGGACTAGAGAAACCATAACTCACTTGATGTATTCATTCTATTCCTGCTAATATTTTATTCATACCAACCTTCATTAATAAAGATGAAACTTTAGACTCACGATTGCTCCATTTACAAAACTACCATGCTTCTTTCCATATCGTCTAAGCATGATCACTTAATACACAATTTTCTAAAAAAATCGCACATACCAAAACTGCGTATTTTGAATTTGTAAAATTCACTGAACAAACTTTCACAAAGTGAATCCTATTTCTGACTCCCAGTAAAGCACAAGCTAAAAACGGAAGCTGAGACCTTTAAAATAAAAGAAGCTGTACTCTCCGTTAAACAAACAAATAATAAACCTTCATAAATGGTAATTTGTCCAAAAATGCAGGTGCATAAATAACTTCAGGCAAGATTTAGTATAAATAACGTTTGCTCAACTAGTACCTATGCCATAAAAAAATAAAAGTTTGTCTTCCTTTTTCAAGAACTGAGTAGTGATCAAAAGACTCGCTGATATACAAGGATTAAGAACCTACCCAGGAGTTGATCATTTTGGCATGAAATTGGTGCAGAACTGGGATATTATGTGAGTTTAAATGTTTTTCCTGGGAATAATTTCTCTAGCACATTTTGCAAAGTCATAGCCATAGATAGCGGTCTCCTTTCTGAATGCCAGGTCTTGGACTGAGAAATATAAAATGGAATAGATCACACTGCATTTTAAAGTATGAATATTAACCTACTTGAGAAATGGTCTAACACTGTACATTGCAATATTCTACACTCATCAGCATAAAGCTATGTGATCTAACATGATATGAAGGTTGCAAAATTGCAATGGTAGTCGCACTGCCTAAAGCGAGGAAGAAACTTCCCCCATAAAATTATATTTTTGAATAGGCGTTAACCCACAAAAAATCTTGAGGTTTTATTTATTGCACTCACACAAAAAATGTAAAACAGGCAAATATCAGAATCAGAAATTAGGTCAGCCATGCATTTCAGCAGGCTCTGAACAGTACAAGAAACTCACACTAACCAAACAATGCACTGTGTTAAGTAATAAAGTATGGTGTTCTAGTCAGATGATGCCTACATCATTAATACCAGATTAAACCCCATATTTGCCTGTTGTGTAATGTGTTATGCAGTGTAGCATTTTAACCTCATTTCTGATTTATCCTTCCAACTACACTCTTCGTGTGGGGAAGGAAAACCAGCACCTTTTATGAGAGACATTATTTGAAAAGATCAAGAGAACCTGCTTTGTCAAGAGCTTCAGTTAGGCATTTTATGATCATTCCAATGTTAATATTAATAGCATTGTACTCACGGGGCCTTCTACTCCACTGTCTTGCAGCTTGTCTAGCCATTTACACTTGTGCTCAGTGAGTGCAAAATCGGTGTCAAGTGCCGCCATTCTGATCTGGTAGCATTTCACGCCCACGCCCCCCTCACGTGCCGCGAGGGTAGATGATTACAAGGGGCGAGGCAGTAGAGCAGTATGTCCTCTAACTGTATACTAGCATGGAGTCTTCTGAAGGCAGAAATATTAGCGGGCTACAGCTCCATTACATGCTAACATGTAACATGGATGTAAATAGAGTTTTCCTTACAAGACGATGATACAGATTAACAATTTTAATACCGCATGCATTTGGAATTAATATTCCTTCCTATTACACCCCACTTTCACTGATGTCCAGGTGCAGAATGTTTATAATAAGCGTTTGTAAACCAGGTTCTCTGCATATTGAATATGGTTCTGCATGTGCTCTTCTTAGTGGAAAAAAGGAGGTAACAAATGTGTCACCTCTGGGGTATTTTCTTTGTTATGCCCTCACAAATGACAGTAGATAAAAGCAGGCACAGTGCACCAGGAGCTTTATCTTCACGCGTAACCTTACATATACTAATTTAACACTCAGGCATATATATGCCATTCTTTAGAGAACAGACATAAAGCGGGAGAGAGAGAGAGAGGAGAGAGAATCTACCATTAAGGAAGATATGTGCTCTGTATTTTATTTTCGAATGAGAATGATGTTCATAATGAGCCAATTTTTCTTCAGTTGCACTGGTGCAAAACCACTGACTTCTTTTATGCCCCTAACTCAGTTGGAACAAGGTTCTCATGTGTTATTACATAGGATTGAACCATCTCAAATTAACTATTAGAAAGCATATTACTAATAGATTAGAGGTCATTGTTCACTGTGCTTACACCTGTGAAATTGTCCATTCTTCATACTAGCAATACAAATCAGGCAAACCAATAGTTTTTTTCTGCCACAAGTCCCACTCTGACCCTTAAAAAAAATAATCAAACAAATCCAGACTTTCAGCCAGATTCTGATACCCTTACTCATGCTGAATACCTTACTCCGCAAGAAGTCCCACAAAAGGTAATGAACTTTCTTGTTAAGTGAGGTGTTAGCATAAGTATCCTAATCTGGCCCTTTATGAGCAATGAATTGCAGTCACCCGGGCTTTGTAATGTCAACATGCAGTAAAAGATAGATCATTTCCTCTTGGAAGTTTCACATTTGGCCCTAAGAGTAACAAGGTTTATATCACTGAAAGGAGGCACAGGGCCTGATTATGATCTCACACAGGTTTTACACCAGTGTGACTCAGGGGGTTAGGAGAGGCAGCATGGTCCAGTGGATCAAGCATTAGTCTTGGACTCAAGAGCTCTGGGTTCTGTTCCCAGTCCTGCCACTGACCTGATCTGTGACCTTGGGCAAGTCCCTTTCCCCTCTCAACCTGTTTCCCATCATTGGTCTGTCTTATCTTTGTAGAGCATGAACCCTTTGAGCTGAGATATTTGTACAATGCTTGGCACAATGAGACCTCAATTTCTGTGCAGTCATCTAGGCATCCATAGAGTTACTATCAATAATGACACAGCTGCAACTATGACTGAACATGGAGGCAAGGCTGGTCCCATATTCTAAAAATCAATTTGCTATCCAGTCCTTGCAGGAAGCATGTCCAGCACTTCTGTGACCCATCCCTTCACTAATCCCCAGGGAGACCAGAGCCTTGAGAAGCCTGCCTGACAGACCAGAGGTGAAACAGCATGTCCAGTGTTTACACTTCAAAGCCATACTTCATGACAGGGCTTACACCGCAGGCTTTTGGCTGCACTTTTAGGTAGCCCTATTTGTTCACTTTATTGCTCCTCTGCTTGGATCTTGCTTTAACAAAACACTTTGAAAGGACACTTCACTACAGATGGAAACAAAATGAAAGAATATGACAAAACACACATCACATACGAAACACAATCGCTTGTAAAATGTTTCTTTTTAAAAGCTATTATGCAACTTTCTAACTTATTTTAATTAATGTGCAATTTAAAATATATAAAAAGCCTTACCAACTAAATGAATTTTTTTTACAGTTCCCCTTCACCCCCCCCCCCATTAAAAAAATATGTATGGACTGGCATTGGAATATCTTTACTGAGTCTTACACTGATTCTCATGTTTAATTCTACTTATACATATAGCATTTTGAGTTTAATCTACTGCATTTAAAGACAGAGTGATCATATCATATACTTTTACAGTATAGCCAGCTAAGTAGATGTCTTTAGTCTCATAACATGATAAAAATCATTAGAAGTTACAGTCCATTTGATCAATGAGGATGGTGACACATGCAGTCTTCCTCAATGCAGTTACCATCAGACGCTCATTATGATTTTCTCTGTACTCTGCTGAGAGGTCTCACATTTCGCCCTTTAGGATTGCCTTCAGACTGTCAAACAGCTGTCCGGTATCAAGCGTTCTGTAGTAATTGGTCAATGTTGCAGTGCATCATCTCACTCGAGCCTGTCATCACCACCACCTTCCCAACCCCTAAATTATCCCATCAGAGTATTCTGGGAGCAGACCCTTTTCAGCCACAGGAAATCACAGTGAAACGCTTGGAAATGCAAGACATATTGTGGAGGACAATACCAAGGAGAAAGACCAAGACGCACGCCACCAAGATCACAGTGCAAACACCTGACCAGGTGGAGCTTTTCACAACGCCCCTCCTGTCTTGCTCCTCCTCTCCGACTTCCTGCGGGATCCCTCCTTGCAGGGGCTGCTGCTCGGTTGGGATTGTCATCACAGTGACAGACTTTTGCTGACTACCTGGCAGGAGGCGACAGCCAATGTCTCCTGGCAACAGCGCTCTCTCCTTGGAGATGGGCAAGGGCAACATGTAGCACCCATTGCTAGGAAGTTTGATGAAGACTGGGGTGTGCTCTGAAGTATGGGGAATTGCAATCACAGCAATCACCTCTGGGTCATCAGGCAGCTGGGATACAGAAAATCCCGGTGGCAGTTTAGTGATACCTCGGCACCAGGGACATCTCAGGTCCTTCTGGCTTGTCCTCATCTGCTGAAGGCAAACAGAACAGCAGGTATGCTTACAGTCCAGCAACTTGGGCCTCCGTCGGGGGCTGTAATAATTGAAACAAATTTGACATTCCAGCAAAGAGTCCTGGGACAGTGTCTCCATTGTAGCCCTAATGGAGAAAACACCGAGTATCTTACAGAGTCTTGTCGTATAGTCCAAAATCTGAAGCCTGGTGTAGTTCCTCTCTTTCCGTGACTTCTTCCTTTTATCTCACCAGCGAAGGACAATGGTTAGGCAGTTTGTAGACGAGCATCTGACTTTAATCTTTTGGTATCTGAGCAAAACAGAAAATTCAAATGAACCAGGTTAATTGGGAAGACCAAACAAAATGCAGAGGGGAAAAAAACAGATTTTAAAATGCAGGAGAATAGAATCTGCACCTCTTAAAATGATTAATAACTAGTGTCCTTTTTTAGAGCCAAATTTTCAGGTCAGTCTTTACTGGGCTTCCATTTTTGTAGCTACATGTAACCATCAACACAATTTTGCAATGGCAGTTATGCCCGCAAAAATGGAGACTAGAGTCTGAACCCTGGCCCTTAGCCCATTTTTCACTTAACACATTTTTAGAATTTCCCAAATATTTCTGAACCTTAATAATCATTTCCATTTAAGCCTTTAAACCCTTAAGAATTTTTAGCTATTTCCATCCACTACTAAGTCTGTACATGAGATAAGTAATGCAAATGCTTAAAAAGAATAAGTTTTTCTAGGCACCTAAGTTATTCCAATAAAACATATGCATGAATGAGCAAACAACTAACTTCATTAGTGTGACCCTAAAAACCCTCGATGCCAACTGACAAAGGGATCATTGTTCTGTTACAGTAACTCTTGACAGGCCTGACAAACTCACTGCACCTAACACTTTGCTTTCATAGCACTTACTGAAAAAGGGTCAAGTGAGGTGTCTAATAAAAGCTTATGTCATATTGATACTCATAATCATTGTGAAATGTACTTACAGATGATATTTAAGGAGTTGTGTGTGTATGTACTGAAAATATATTTTAGAGACTGTGTAACAGGCTGGGTAGGCAAACAGGTTTTTGCCAGACAAAGAGATGTATCTCCCTCAGTAGATTACACATTGTAAGCCAACAAAGCGAGCCTCATTTTGCATACAACATGGAGCCAGCACACCAGGGAATGAACCACAGGGGATCATCCTGACTCTGCGAGCAACACAATGAATTCTGGAGTATATGGTGGGGTGGGGGGGACATTTTGTTATCCTTCAATGAGGAAGCAAAAAGGACAGCGCTTTCTGTATGCATTGCAGAAATGGGGGATCCCAGCCAGGTTGACTGAAGAAGCTGGGGAATTGCTTTAGGTGAGATGAACTACTTTAGACAGAGGTTTTAGCCTGATATAGTTAAGTTTAGAATCTAAGAAACATGTTATACTTTTGTTTTATATGTAACCATTTGTGTTTTCATCATTGTCCTTATTCACTTTCTCTTAAATCTTAGCCTTTGATAATAAACTTATGATTGTTTTCACTATAAACACACCTCAGTGCTGTGATGTTATATTGGAGCTGATATTGTTGAATCAAACAAGCTGATGTGTGCACTATTTCTCTGGGGACAGCTTAGATGGTAATTTCTGTGAGTTTCCAGTGACTGGGTCTGGACTCTACAGGGGAACACTTCAAAAGGGATTCGTCTGCACCTCTTATTAACCTTGCAAGGCAAAGCAAGAGCTGAAAGAGCCCTCAGGAGATTGTTTGGGTGGCTAATAGACTGGTGGTGTCAGGGAGTGGACACCCAGTTAAGCATGAGCAAATCTTCCTCTCATTGAGGCAGGGGGATAACAAGGTGACTCTGACTTCTGGGCACACATGAAAGCATCCCAACTGAGAAATGCATATTTGTGTGCAAATAAAAGGGAACTACCGGCTTTTCAGTAACATTAACTCTTTATATAGCTACAAGAATACTTTGTGGGCAGAGCTGGGGTGCTTTCCTTTGAAAATTTAGCCCAATAACATCAATGGAAATTAAGCTCAAGACTGCAAGCAGTATATGACCCAAGGATGGCAAAAAGCCATTAAGTTGTGTATAGTGATATACTAATGCATTATATTAACATATTAAAGAACAAATATTTATTAATACTGTTCTCCAGCATGAATAATTGTACTGGTTCTATTTATTTTTCAAGATGATTCTTTCAAGTTTCTACCTATTTCTTAGTTCAGTACCTTAAAGATCATTTGTTTCCTTCACTATTGTGCCATGGGGTTTTTGTTTTGTTTGCCTATGATTTTGCAGGGTTTGCGAGGCCTGGGGTGGGGACATTATATTTTTCATAGATTTAATCCCAAAGGGACCACTGTGAGCATGTAACCTACTATATAATACAGGCCCTCTGACTTCCCTGAATTAATTCCTATTTGAACTAGAGCATGTCTTTTAGAAAAACATCCATTCTTGATTTTAAAATTGCCAGTGATAGAGAATCCACCACAGCCCTCAGTAAGATGCTCCAATGGCTAATTACCCTCACTGTTAACTAACTACACCTTATTTCCAGTCTGAATTTGTCTAGCTTCAGCTCCAGCCATTCAATCTTGCTATGCCTTTCTCTGCTAGATTGAAGAGCCCATTTTCCAATTTTTATTTCCCATGTAGGTACTTATAAACTGTGATCAAGTCAACTCTTACCCTTCTTTTTCTTAAACTAATAGATTAGTTCTTTGTGTTTATCACTAGAAAGAATGTTTTACAATCCTTTAATAATTCTCATGGCTTTTCTCTGAACCCACTCGAATTTATCAGCATCCTTCTTGAATTGTGGACACCAGAACTGGACCCAGTATTCCAGTAGCAGTCACCCCACTGCCAAACACAGAGGCAAAATAACTTCTACTCCTACTTGAGCATTCCACTGGGAGCTTTGTTCAGCTGATTATCCACCATGATGCCCATATCATTTTCAGAGTCACTGCTTCCCAGCATAGAGTCCCCAATTTTATAGTATGGTCTATATTTTCTGTCCCTCCATTTGGGAGTACTAAAATGTGTATTGTTTGCTTGCATCCAGTTTACCAATCTATCCAAGTTTACCAATCTATCCAGATTTTTCTGTATCGGTGACTGTCCTCTTCATTACTTACCACTCCCCCAATCTTTGTGTCACTTGCAAACTTTCAATGATGATTTTGGTTTCCCCAAGGTCACTGATAAAAACATTATAGCATAGGGCCAAGTACTGATCCCCATGGTTCCCCACTAGCATCACACCCGCTCAGTAATAACTACCTGTTTAACATTATGTTTTGAGACGTGTCAGTTAGTCAGGTGTTAATCCATTTAATATGTGCCATGTTAATTTTATATCATTCTAGGGGTTTTTAATCAAAATGTCATGCAGTACCAAGTCAAATGCTTAACAGAAGACGAAATATATTACATCAACACTATTACCTTTATCAACTAAACATGTAATCTCATAGAAAAGGGTGACAAGTCAGTTTGACAAGTTAGTTATACCTTTCTATCCCTGCCCACTTCACTGTATTTAAGAATATTTTTTAAAGGAGTCAGTTTGCATATGTTTGTGGAGACAACTTTTAAATAAAAGTATTTCCTAGTCAGTACTAATGGGTAAATAACAATAATTAAACACACTTGCACAGTGATGTTTGTGTTTGTCCTATAGTAGTTTCCCAAGATTGAATTATCAGCCAAGGTTTGTAGCTGTGAGGAGAATTTTTCCTTTTCATAACATTTTCTCCCCCCTTCTCTTTCCAGTTCATACAACTGGTCACAATACCCTATTTAACATGTAAAAAGCAACAAAGAGTCCTGTGGCACCTTATAGACTAACAGACGTATTGGAGCATAAGCTTTCATGGGTGAATACCCACTTCTTCAGACGCATTTAACATGTGACATTATAGTTACTATCCCAGAGATGATGGAAACAAAGGATGGAAATATGGGATTGCAATACTGGATTAGGCCATAGAGCCATCCATTCCTGTATCCTGCCTCTGGCAGTGGCCAATACCTGATACATCAAAACACAAAATGTGTGCAGTGGGCCACATCCTCAGTTGTCACAGATTGATACCACACCACTGAAGTCAGTGGAACCAGGCCAATTTATACCAGCAGCAGGTCTGGCTCACAATGTGCCTTATATAATCTCAGTGATTATATCGACACCAAAACAACCAAGAGCAGAACTGCCCCCAAAAATATATATATATATATCTTGTGGAACCAAAGTGATGATCACAGAAAGTGACACCTGCGTTCCAATGGTTAAAAAAATATATATATATTTGCTTCTCAAAATTGGGCACATTGGTCGTAATGCAAATGTTTGTACGTGCAAGAAATACTTCACAAAGCAGCTACACGTCAAACCGTATAGCTCTCAGGCGTGACCGTAAGGGACAGCCCCAGGAGGCATTCTGCTCAAGGAAGAATGAGTGCAGGCAAGGCAGAGGCAGCTGCCCCTTCATAGATTGCGGCTTGCTCACATCCACTGGCCAATGCATAAAAGAGGGAGTCAAAATCACCCAGGGGGCTCATGGATGGGAAGTCTGTCTTGCCCTCACATAGGCCACAGACTTACCTGTGTCCTTTCCCTCCTCTCCCCTCCCCCAAACTGGCACACCTGTGTAAGAACCAAGTACAATCTGACCAATCATGGGGGAAATGGGTAGATAAGGCCGTGGCTACACTCAAAACTTCAAAGCGCTGCCGTGGGAGCGCTCCCGCAGCACCACTTTGAAGTGCGAGTGTGGTCGCGGTGCCAGCGCTGGGGAGAGCTCTCCCAGTGCTGCAGGTACTCCACCTCCCCGAGGGGATTAGCTTACAGGATTAGGGTTTTTTCACACCCCTGAGCGAGAAAGTTGCAGCTCTGTAAAGCGCCAGTGTAGCCAAGCCCTAAGTAAAAACTTTCAAACTCATAAAAATAAACTTGAGGGAATTCTTTGGGCAGATCTTAAGAGTGTGGGTGCATGGGGGAGTGTTGTCTGTTTTAATATGGTACAGGAGCTAGCTGTTCATACTATCAATGTACATAACTCTGAGATAAAAAAGTTAAAGGTACAGTCCAGGTTATACACAGATATCCATTAAAACAAACAAACAAACAAACACAACAACAACCAACAACACGAGAACGTTGAAGCTATGAAAGCCCAGAAACTCAGCTGGTATAAGTCAATATTGCCACACTAAGGTTCTAGCCCCCAAATTTTTGGACGTCATGAAATTAATTGGTGAAGATCCACAAAACATCTTTGACCCTATT